GACTAGCCTTAATCGAAAGTTCTCTCTCGTGATCGGGAGGGGTAATTAACTATAGGGGCTTGCGCCTATAGGAAACCAGAACTCAGATCATAAAGTCCTCACAAAATAAGGGTGAAATCTCTGGGTAGTGTCTTATCTACAAACCCATCTGCCTTCCAAAATTTACCCCGGAACTTAGTTCGTTAAAACTCCCTCGCCGAATAAGAAAAGCGAGTGGAGGCCGAGGCCGAATTTTCGGAGCCCACAGATAGCAAACAAATTTATTTTTAGGCCCCCCCTGAATAAAATTTCTGGCTCCGCCACTGGTCACTTTACATCTTAGATTGTTTTTGTTTCATATGTATGCAAATTTGTTACTTCACAGTTTAATAGAAAATTAATATGTCATACATTAACATATTATTTGATTATTATGCAAAAAAATAAGTTAAATATTTATTTTTATTTTACGCATTTTGTTTTTTATTTTGAGGCTTACACCTCAAAATGTCATAAGGCTTATGCATGAATTACGGACACAAAATGCCTCAATACCCAATTTTAAACCTTGTTTTGAAGTTGTTCATAAAGAAGACGTACAAAATAGAGTGTTAATACCTCATGTAACATCATTCATCAAGAATGAATTTAGGAGGAGGATTCATGAAACCAATCCCAATCTATTGAGATAAGGCTAATGATGATAATGATCAAGTCAAAATATGTGGTTTTAAATGGGAAAATCAAGATGCCAATTTCATTCAGAGATATGGCTAAGAGATAAAGGGAGTTATGATTTCTTCTCCCCAAATAGTATCCATTTCAAAAATAGTTCACAAACCATTGCAGTAAAAAAGCATGATTTAAAGGAAAAACAAAGCATGATAAAATCAAGCCTACACCACCTACATGCTCAGAAGTGGTTGAGATTTGAAAGGATGTAAAAAGATAAAAATTTTGATTTCTTCTACACCTAAGGATCTTAAAATTTGTCATTTAGAAGAAAGAAAAAACTACTAAACCATTTCAGAGCCCACGTCAACTTTAGTTAGCAAAAGTAGAACTAAAAGTTTGACTGAACAAGAAGCTGAATCTCTTAATCAGAAGATTTCTAGAGTTGGCCTAAGCGCAAATACGTTTTTAGCATTTTGTTGATATTTGCATGATAACAGTATTATGTTTTAATTGGGCAAAAGCTTTAAACAACTCTTAGGGTAAAAGAAATACTGATAAATGCCTACTGAACAGTTGTTGGTATCCTAACTCCAACCTAAGAATAAATTTAACAATTTTTAAGTAAATAAATCAGCAATTTGGCAATTTTGAGCAGGTATTGGTCAACAAAAACTTTACCCTTAAATTAGAAAAACAAATTAGGTAAATATATTACCATCAAACACCATTCTGAAAATGCATAGTTATAAGAGATCAAAAGGTAATTAATCTGGCTTATTTCCTACCTACCAACAAGTAATACTTGGCCTAAAACATATAAAAGAATTAACCTTATTTAAAAGTATTCGTAAGAAAGATGAATTTACAGATATGAATACCTGTAATAGCATATATTACTTGTGCATCCACGTAAACACGGAGGAGAAAATTCCGAATTTTCATGGATGTAGGCTAAAAAGGTGAACAATCATCTAACATAGCAACAAAAGATGCTTTTTCAAATCAACAATGATCAGAAAATTTGATACCAACAAGAGATTCATACATGGAAACAAAAAAGAATCACCAGAAATTAAAAAATGTTGTAAAATAGTAAGGAACTTTGTTCTGTAAGTCAATTCATATGAGTGAATTCAGCAATATAAATGAAACATATAAAATTAAGAAGATTGTACATTAGTACTGAAAAAGATAGAAAAGAATTACCACTAACTTAAACTGATCAGTGATCATAGAACGAACACATCTTGAACCAAAGGACCCATCGAGACAAGAGAAGCAATAGGTACCAACCCCACAATCGCTGTCGGATGAGCAAGGATCAAGAAGCTACAAAAATTAAAGGCCATTCAAACCAATTAGTAATATAAACCCATGAAATAACATTCCTTCAGTATTTGAAGCTTATAAAACAGGGAGAAAAAGGCTTCAACAAGATTGAAGAAGATGAACAGAGAATACAAAAGAAGCTAAGCCTTAAATAGATATAGGAAGGAGGTAGGGTTGTCCAGATTTTTTGTGATGGTATTATACTAGATGATATCGAATTTATTTTGCTTCATTGTGGACGCTTGTATTGTGGAATTTTTCTGATTTGGAGTTAATCAAGCAAGGAAAACTTTGGCTGCCTGCCTAACACTTTTTGGGCTACTATTTTTTGGGACTTCAAGCCAATTAAAGCAAACTCACGGACACGGCACACATAACATACTCAAGTTTCGAACTTGAGATCTCTTGATTAGCCGTCAAAGCTCTCAACCAACAAATCAAATCAAGCTGAGTTGCAGCTACTTTGTGCTAAGAGTTTTTTTTTTTTTTTTTTTAACCCA